CCCCTTGTCATCACCGATTTCGATTTTGACTTATTTTCTTGACGGGGAAGTGAATGATTTGCTTGATTCGAATAATCTACTACCTCTTATTTAAGTGCACTTCGGAGAAGAACCGTAGTTCCTTTTAGTGATTCTTGGGATTGGATGGACTGCTTGCGCGGGAGAGAAGGCCTTAACTGTAACGACCAAACTACACCCTAGTCGGAGGCCGACAACAGTCGACTGTGCGCCACCTAGCTGCCACACATTACCAGCCAATGCTCGTTGTACAGCCTGGAAAAATGCCCATACTCCAGAACGTATTTGCCGCTAAAATTCTCGGTTGCGGACAAGTCTGTGTCGGCGCCATCTCTGACAGTGACCCCACTCCCCCTTAAAACGTGGGCGCAAACGCTAGAGCCCCGTGACGTGTTAACTGGTTGAAGCTCAATGATCGCCCACTGCATGTACAACTAACCGATATGAGCATACTTTAAAGCGTCTTAAAAGTGGAGATGTCTGAAATGTGCTGGGTTCGGGACAGCCTTCCACAGCATGCACCCCACCTGGCAAAAAATTTCGGGGGCAGGCAACTTCAGGCACCGCTGACTATAACAGACGTGAGCAGAGCACGGCCGAGGGATGCGGAAACACTGACATGGAAACAGGAAGGTGGTCGTCTGTTAAGCCGCGACTTAGAGCCGGATTTACGTAAGAATCTTAATGCAATTGGAAAGCCCGCATTCAAAGCAGTTAGGGAGATGTCAATTCAATGCCAGTTGTGCAGAAGACTGCGTTTTTATTTGTCACAGATCCAAAAAGAAGGCTTCATACAAAACAAAGCGGCATCAGAAGGCTTGACGTCGCTCTGCAAAGTAGATCGAATTGCACAATCGCCACTAGCCGCATAAATTTGACCGGCCTGAATGGCGAAAACAGACGGAGTGCATAAAATGACATAGACGATAGGGGAGCGACACACAGATAGATTGCAAGCAAGAAAGTACAAGCCGGAGAGCTGGTGTTGGAGTCTCAGTCCTGTTTCTTTTGCTTCGCCTTTTTGCCAGCTAAACGGAATTCGGAAAAAATCATGTCCATGATAAGTAAGTTAACATGAATACAAGTGCGCTTCTCATTTTGCAAAATGACTGTAGTGAAGTCGTTTACTAAGGGCGAGCATGCGGTCTACATGGCTACATACTGCGGGATCAATTGCGTAGAAGGGTTATATGGCAATCTCAAGAAGCCTTATTCGGAGATCAACTAAGTCTGTCCGCATTCGATGAAAACAGGCGGGAGCAAAAACTGGGTTAAACCTCTATTGGTGTGGCCATATGTTGCATTTCTTAAAGTAAAGAAACAAGCACCAAACCAAGGCAAATAATTTGCAATTTTACACGTACTCGTAGGCTGCGGCGAGGTCTTCGGCTTTGGTGAGGCCGACGGCTCGGGCTTCCTATTCCTTGCCTTCTCCTTCTTTGACTTGCGACGCTGACCGGAGAGGAGCTTGATAAGAAACGCGCACGCGAGGAAGACTATGCACGCAGTAGCGAAGACAATTCCGTAAAACTGATAACGGCCGTTGGTCGATAACACTTTGAGCACTGGATATACGTAGACTTTCTGGGTGTTGATGAGCCACTCAGTACTGGGGATTTAGTTATGGTAAAGGAGCTTACTAGACGGCATAGCTGCCATAATAGGCCAACAGTACCATACCGGTACCGAAGTAGGGCAAGGAAGTCGGGCGACTAAGTGCAATGTCCAGAACAGCAGTTAATGCCACGAGGGTGTGCTGAATAAACCGTCGCAAAATCGTAACGCACTAACCGTGACATGCATGTGCCACGCAGGGTAGGTGCGCATTGCCTCAGTATCGGCCAGAAGATTAACATCGCGGAAGTAAATCGCCCAAAACATTACAGAGACGACCTACAGAGTTAAACACAGCGAAACTTACGGTTGCAGTAGTTGCAGCAACACAGGCCAACATGCTCTTGGTCTTTACGCACTTCGTGGGCATAAGCAAC